CACGCACACTCCTCTCTCTCTCCCTCTTAACTCTAAGCACAGCGTAGCAACTGCATAACCATAGACGAGGTCACGCAAGACCGTTCCACCAGGCAGGTGGGGCCCTTCTCTCAGGCTGGCAATTTCCGCCTTGGTCAAGTGCGTCAGAGCAGCTAAGACGAGACGTAAGCGCCTCACCTTGCCTTGATGGTATTCTGCGAGACAGACCGGTAGAGGGCCTAACCACATTGGGTGGGGCAGAAGCGCCTGCTGGAAGACTATCGTGGCTTGTGCCACCTGTGTGGCTGTAAGGTCCAGCGAGCCTCGAATAGTGGGTTCTTTGTTGTCATAAGTATATATCGTTTGGACACCATGCAAAAGGGCTGCCAGAACCTGCAGGGCCCCAGGCATCCCTTGCATGTTCAGCGGACAGGCTAGGATGGTGAGGTCGGTGGCTCGGCTGTATGCCACATTTGCTCGTGTGAAGCACTCCTGGTCATAATCCAGGTTGTGCCCTTCGCCACTAAGGAAGGTTGACACCCCGTGAATAACGATGCAGTGTTTGGCCGTAGCACCTGCAACTTTGACTGCGGTTTCTGCATTAGCCTTTTTGTCTGCAATGGTGAAGTAATTGCGTAGATTCGTAGCCCCTTCCCGGGTGGTTGTAAGGGCCAAGATGTCGTCGGTGTCGGCTCCTGCTTTGGTAAGTTGGTCTTCGAGATGTTGATACACTCGCACAGTAGGGTCATTTCTTGGGTTATGCCTTGCATGCACGTTGGGCGAAGCATGGCGCCAGTGGACAAATCTTAGGCCTGAGGCAATCAGGTGATCCTCTCGAATGGAGGTGGTACCTATTTGCCAGGTGTCTCCCATTCGGCTGCACAACATGGGATACTGAATTCCTATTAACGGCTCATACACTTCTTGGGCAACCCTTGCGCTCGTTGGCAACATTAAACTCCAGCGGTGCGGGCTTGCGACTCCCGATCTCTCGGCCGCATTTTGCGCCTGTCGGAAGTCGAGCGGGCTGTCCGGGCTGGTGGCTGCATAACCTAGGCCAACAAGAAGTCCTTCCGGGAGATCCAGATCCACTCTGGAGAGGTCCTTGTAGGTGGACTGTAACTGACAGGCGAACGAAGACGTGGCCTTGACCTTCTCCGGGCGGAACCAGTTACTCCCCAATGGCCTGTGGCCCACTGCGGTAGCCGCTTCTTCGAGATCACTATGGCCAAAGCCTCGACCGTGCCGGAGGAGCATGTGAAAGACACCTGGTATCTCATGTGGCATGTACCAGGTAGTGGGGGCTCGTAGCCCAATGGGAGCTTTGAGTAAGAGCGTGCGATGAGCTCTCTGTCCATCGGCTACTCCACCAGGGCTCTGTTTGGGATCACCAAGCAGCAGTCGAAAGAAGGGTTGTCGGGGAACTGTCGGCGCGAAGGCAGATTTGAGGTCCATATCCTGCTGTGCCTCTTCACTAACGAGCAGGTCCACATTCTCCATGTGAGTGTTGAGTGTGGAGTGAGTTTGTCCTTTTTGGCCCCAGACAAGCCCAGTAGTGACAATAACGACATGGCAGCCGGGGATGTATGGAGCCGCGTCGCTTGCACGCAGGTCGTAGGCAGTGCAGGCTGTGTTAGTTTCTGCCTCTCCTCTGCTAACTGGCCGAACAAAATATCTCTGGTGGTCTGGCTCCAGGTCAAAAGCAGTGAGCAATTTGGTGATTGCCCGACCAGCCGGATTCTCTTTACGCACGACTGCAATTTTGAGGTGAGTGGTAAGAGCAAGCCAGGCGAGGAGGAAAGTCAGGGATCGAGTTTTACCAGAACCAAAGACACCTGCTACTGCCAGGGTAGATCTGCCAGATCGGAGAGCCAGCGCTAGGCTGGAGGCCATCGAGACTATGTGGCCATTATCTTGCCGGGCGGCTGTGCCTAGGGCAACAGCAAAACCAGCCGCTTGAGGACAGTGCTGTAGAGTACTACCTGTGGTCAGCAACTGGAAGAGGGCATGCAAGCTCTGCAATAGGACTACTGTACATTCAAGCTGATACGGAATGGGCACTTGGCCGGGGATGCCCAACACAGTGGGTTTGTGTTCTGCCGCTAGGCTGGCCATTTGCAGCAGGTGGTCAGCAGTGACAGTGTCTCCCGCTTCCGCAATGGCCAACACCCGGAACTTATTTGCGCTAGGTTCTAGCACACGTAGGCTAGGTGGGAAGGCCCATGGTGCTGGGCACGCTAGTCCGGTTTCGGTTGGCGTGGGCAGCGGCACAAAATCTTCCGGGAACGGTACTAAGGCAACGTCCCAGTGCCGAGGGCTGCTCAATCGTCGGAGCTTCTCACTTGGCGATTCCTCTCCTTTTCGTTTCCGCGAGGGAGTCACAAAGGCAAGCAGGAGTGCTAAGACTGAGTAGCACGTGCCGTGCTCCTCCAGAACCAGTCGATAGGCCTTTCCAGCCTGCGAGCCCATATGGACCGTACTTGAGGGGCTGCTCGCTAGTTGGTCAAAATTACAGCTCTGGAAGTGCGCTGGGCAAAAGATAGCCGTTTGTGACCACGAAGGAAAGGCAATGCGATATTCACGCATGCCCTGCAACCCGGTAGCTGTTGGTGTGATATCCACGAAGAGGCCAAACTTTCGAACCGTGGGACTACTCCATAGTTCCTGTCTTGCGGTGGCTTCTTCGACAAAGGTAAGCTGCGGGAGAAATAGGGCTAGAATGACAAACACTTCCCGGAACGGGATAGGTGCCAAGAGGTCTCGAGCCATCTCCGTCAGCCATTGGGCACACGCACTTCAATTGCCTTTGCCGACCCGAAAGTTTTTCAGCAGTAGGGCCTGCGCTTCTTCCATGGAGGCAATTTGCTGTCCTGCCACGCAGCTTTGCAGCAGCATAAGCAATTCTTTGTCGGGTCGGTGGAGGTTGGACACCAACAAGCTGATAGCTCCTTCCCAATCATCGCTTGTCATTACCGTTTCAAAGCGAATCCAGGAGGCCAAACGCATAGGGGCAGCGATTCGATCACGGCGAGGAACAACAGCAGGGTGTGTGAGTTTCAGAGTAGCCAGACTGACTTTGCCTGTAGGGAGTTGGCACTGTAGCCAGTGCCAGTAACAGTGTTTGTGCTTACCCATCCACCTTGCAGAGTCTTCTACATACGTGACGTGCAGGGATCGTTGCAACATGTCAAGCTCGTTATCTGTCGGCTTCCAGTCACACAAGCAATCTTCAGCAGCATGGACAAGATAGTAGTTGCGCCTGTCAGGCTCTGCAGTGGCAACGAGTGCCGCTAATACACTCTTCGGCATTGCAATGGCGCCTAGGCGCGCTGTGATCTGACTGGCTGGCCAGAGGCAACGAATTGCTAAGGCAATCACTGCTCCCGTGTAGCTGCCTGCACTGAAGCCGTTCACCGTAAAGTGGGTGGGATTTTCCTGATCAGCCAGCCGAAGACACCCAAGCACTGGCAAGTAGGCAATAAGTCGTAGCGGCTGTAACGAAAGTAGTTTCCACCAAAGACCACTGAGAAAGGCCTGGTGTGGCAGCCGTCGGTGAGCTGGGAGCAGCCGGGCTGCTTTCAGCACATGTTGCGTACGTTGGTACAGGAGGGCTGCCTTGCCATACCCGAGGTCTTCCCATTTCTGGCAAGGGTTCTGCGTGAGCGAGAAGAGGGTGGCGACTTCATGTACACCTGTCGACCAGCCATAGGCAACACCCCATTCCTGATCTTTAGCGACATCTGCGGGGGAGAGTGACGGCCCGTAGACTTGACTTTCCCCCACAGGCGGACACATGCAATGGAAGTGCGGGGGGACCTCCCCTTCAAGGGCTCCGCCCCCAAGACCACCACAATTGATCTGAAATACTGAGGGTAAGGGTGGGATGTTATGACCAATCCAGTACTCGTTGAGTCGTGCAATCATCCACAGGACAGTGACCCACAGTATTTCACCCTGCTGACGCTGGTAGATGGCTTCAAACACTTGTGGTGCAATACCTTCCAAGGGCATAAACGAGCCTTGGAGTTGATAAAGCAAGTCATTGTTGGCTTGTAGAAACTGCTCTTTTTCTCCCGGGACAAGACACTTGGGGTGAGCCAGAGCAACTTGCAGTTGCTCATACGGACATGCTTCAATGTCCTTGTGGATTGCAACAACCCCTCGTAGCTTGGCGACTTGACTCCAGGGCACAAAGAGGGGAGGAGACAGCCGTTGCGGACAGGGGATACATGGACTAGGGTCAGGTGCCTGACTACCCTGTGTCGAGTCTCGTTCGATTGCTTTAGTGAGTCGATCTGCTCTTCTGGCAGAAGTGTCAGACGAGGGCGTGGAAACTGACTCCACGTCTGCATCACCGTCCTCTGCCGGAAGACAGCTAAGGCTGTCCCCCTGCAGTTGTGCTGGAAAGAGTTCAGTCGCTTGCGGACGAATCGCCCGCCACTTTAGTAGCAGGCAGAAGCGCAAAGCACTGTTCCCAGCTACTCCAGAGAAGTAGCTTGTAAATTTGCACCCACCTACTGGTTTCCAAGTCTCAATGACCCATGCTGGGGGCAGATTAGGCATGCCGAGTATAGCAATCGGCAGCGTTTCCCAACCCTGCAGCTCCAATTCTCGTAAGGCAGCCTGCGCTCCAACTTTGGCCTTGCCAAAGGCATGAAATATGGCAGGTCGCATTCGGTTGCGTGGCAGCGCACTGGCTCCAGTGGACTGTGCTTGCTGCGGTTGCCTATCGAAATAACCAGACCTGCGTTATATTCCAAGTGGGCCTAATTCTGGCTGACTGCTCGTGGAGGGGAGTGGGACAACTTTGTGGCAACAGCCAGGGCGGGATCGGTGGTGTTGGACGGGCTGGGGCAGCAGGTACTGCCGGAAGAGTATACATCTG